CCGCGTGCCACGAGGCGTACAGATAGGGCGGAATGGCTTGCTAGTTCGAACTATCTAGCCCGTGCCGCGTGTAGCCGCGTGTAGTCGCGCGGCACGGGGTTCGAACAAGCCGGCATTTAAAAATGGCACCAGCCGGCTTATGCAAATGAAGCCCGGGAAATTCAAATCCCGGGCTTCATTTGCACTGAGGGTATGTCTACACTACCCCGCTAGTTCGAACTAGCGGGGTAGTGTAGACATACCCCTATATTTATAAAGTACCTTTCAGTCTGAAGATTACAACTTGACCCACATCAGTCATTTCTGGGGTAGAACACTGCAGTTCTGCAATGCTAGCCAACAGTCTGACGGGTCGTGAAGAAGAATGCAATATATTTTGAAACTACAGAACAGTTATTCTAAAGGGAATTTGGCTATGATATGGGGGTTAATAAACACCCTTACCCTAATGGTGTAGGTTACTTAAAGGCCACATGTGATCAGAGCCTCAGTTTTACCTTTCATATAGAAGATGGCACCTTTAACAGCCTAATTGTCTCAAAACCATCCTTGGCAATGACTCAGAGGCAAGAGTGCCCCCTAATGCATTGTTAATCCCACTTCCTGTAATAGCAGCATTTTCTTTGGAAGGTTTTCATCCAAACAAGGACCAGCCTTCTGAAGTTTAGTCTATAAGATTCCATCTCAAGATGGTGTATCAGTCTACATGGATAGTGGATCAGCGGGGGAGTGGGAAAATGAATTGACAACCTTGCAGTGGGGTGGGTCTAACCTGAAAAATTCTGCATCTGCATAGATGCATTACACTCAGGGAAACTCTCAAACACCTGTATTATCTATTACTCTCAAATACCTGTGGGTATGTCTACACTACAAAGTTTGTTCGAACTAACTTTCATAGGTGCTACACTAGCGCTCCGCTAGTTCGAACTTAATTCGAACTAACGGAGCGCTTAGTTCGAACTAGGTAAACCTCATTCCACGAGGATTAAGCCTAGTTCGAACTAGCTAGTTCGAATTAAGGGGTCTGTAGCCCCTTAATTCGAACTAGTGGGA